TGCCAAAATTCAGTTTTCTAAATACAAAAGGTTTCAAACCGTGTTGAACAGAACATAATTTGTTAGCCTGTTTCCTATAGTTTGCTATCACCCAATTAATTATATGCTGAGATTATTTGACAAGTTCATACTCTACAGTCACTGTGGTTTTGAAAATGTCATGCTATCCTTGGATTTGGAGCATACTGTTCTAATATATAAATAGACATCCATTTTCTTTTGTCCCTTTTTGTGTATGATTCTCAACATGCTACTCCAACAAAGATTTGCTTGCATCAGATTGAGCATATATATACATGATCACAAACAATGTGAATATGGGCCCCAAAAAAAATCAGTCAATTAAAGATCAGCAATATTGACGTATTCCTAATCGATTGTTCTATTATTTGGCTTCCATGGAAAGGAAATGTTCATGTGATTGCCTGCCACTTGGAGAGAGAACAGAGGTGTAGTGTTGTGGTAATCTATCTTAAGCAAGCCTGTAATTAGACTCGTACTGAGGCTTAAGTCACCATTAACAAAGATTATGTGATTAATGTTCCATTTGGCTCCCATGTTGTCTGTTGTAGTAGATTGTTGAATGCTGATGAATCCTAATGTGGCAAGTAGAAGGCCATGTCAATGTAAGCCATAGGCCTTAAAAAAAAGGGTAGGAGTAAAAGCCATAGCATATTGTGCCATTTGTCTTGATTGTTCAAAGGAAATCTTATGTAGAAACATGCTATGATGCTGATAATATTTTCCTATTGGCAAGTTGCATGGACAAAATGATATCACATTCATACCAAGTTGGTATCCCTGTTAGTAGTTTAATCCTTTTACTTTGTCCTAAAGTCTCTGTCATTTGTGCCTCACAACTTGTAGACATCTGCTGGATTCTTGGTCACAAAGCATGAAAAGGCATTGTGATGTGAACATGATGACATATCTAATTGGAATGTAGGGTATATTGTTAGAGGTCCTTTTCTAATTTGTATGTCCTCAGCCAAGACCCATGGAACTCTAATTTGCAACTGATTGCAGCCTTGACCTTTTCATATACCCTATGTAAGACCATTAGCTAGACTTGACCAAGAGACTGTGAAGGAGATGATGATGAGAGGCTAGGTCAAGCAGTCAATAACAGCAATATAAGCACGTCATGTTTGATCTCACAACCATTAAAAGGAAGAGTTAGTGACTAAATCATGTACATATACAAAACCGATTACATGTTTGATAAAAAAAAATCATGCCAAAATAAAAAATAAAAATATGTTGTTATAGTAGAACTCGAACCATGCATGCTACTCAACTCTCATCGAGGTTTTACCAAAATGAAAATTACAAGCTAAAATTTACCAAATAACCACTACTATGAAACACGTTTTGCAGATGGCCAAAACACGTTTTTACATGTGGCCGGGCCTACGACCAAAGGCAAGTGAAATATCGCGTAGGATTTTGTGGGGGAAATAGTTGTTTTGTGAGCAATATTGTTTCATGATAAGAACATATGTGTTCCATACTTGTAGCATTTCTGATCATTTTTATATGCCGATAATTTTTGTTTTGAATTCACCAATGGGAATGAACTATCCTTTAAAAGCTGGCAGCAGATGGATACATGACATATATGAAAAGAATATGAATGGTATATTCTATACCACGAACTACTTTAGTTTGTAAGATTTTTTTACCCATTAGAAACCAGTGATAGAGTTACAATCATTGGTTGAAGAAAGGGCGTGTAAAGGGACATTGGATAGACCGTCATCGTCATCCATGACAAACACAAAAGGATAACAAGAAAAAAATTATATCGAAGCTGTTTAGATTACTCAGTTCAACTGGGGATGAAGTAAGAAAGCATAGAATTAACCACACTCGTTGCAGTTACTTCCAACAAGCAAATATCATACACAATTTACAGTACACCTTTGCCTTGAGAATCGTGATATATAATTTGGCAATATGTGCGTATTTTTTATACTCCCTCTATCCCATAATATAAGGCGTGGTTAAAGTTGGCAAGGTCTCCAAAACTAATCTTTTACTTATAATTTCTCATATAGTATAAGATTTGTAGCAACAAAATTATAACCATATGAAAGTAAATTTAAATGTCAATCTAATGATATAATTTTTAATAAATAAAATTCATTTCATATTATATTAAGTATTGGACAAATGTTTTAAATCTTGAAATGTGTGCACGCCTTATATTATGGGATGGAGGGAGTATATGAGTATTTCATGTATGACTTTGTCTTGTATGCCGTACAGCTTAGAGGACAAAACTAACATTTACAAAGTATAAAGTATGAATCTGATGAATTGTTCCATGATTTTTAATGAGTGAAGGGGACATAGTTATTGTGGTGTATTTGGTGAAACTCTGAACCCTTAGCTTGGCAAAAAAATGGACTAATTAACCACAGTTAATCTCGATTTACTATGTTGATCAAATGCTTCATGCTAATTAAATTTTATTCACAATTATAATCTCACCTGCTAGCTAAGTAGATCTTTGATACTTGCTCTCATGCTATGCTTTGTTTGAGACCTTAATTTCAATGAACTTTGCATTAACAAAACTAAGCTGGATCACTAATTAACTTCCCTAGCTTTTTGGTTGTCCTTGGACGACGTTATAATCCAAGTTATGTGCATTGCCAGTAATAAAATTAATGGTGCAAGTTGCATAGAATGTACAATGAAAACATACTACTAGCTATGTAGCTATAGTTGATCAATTCAATCCCATAATTCACCAAATATAATATAAGCCAAGCTTGCATCACTCTAAAAAGGTTCTTGATTTAGCACGCAAGACATGGGCTAATCGCCAAAAGGTGATATCTGGATGTCCCGGACCTAGTCAACAAGGCAATGCAAGTATGAACTGGGCAAGGTCCTTTTCATGGTTTTTTTTACCCTTTGTTCATTGTCTTACTTCTATGAGAATGACGACTACAAAATTAATGTGAGAAAATGATTTACATCATAGACAGTACATAATTTGTTTGATGTGTGACTTGGACTATATATTTATAATTCATTGTAGTTTATGTGGGTCCATGTGTCGAGTATGTGCGTACTTATGTGAGAAACCAATAGCTTAAATGTACACGCGATTGTAAAAATCGCTTACCATGTTGCATATATTAATTTCTTGGCCTTTAGGATCACATATAATTTGGTGTGGTGGTTCCAATTTGCATGTTATAAATTTGATATGCGGATGATCAAAAGCCCTTGCAAGAAAAAACCGCAAACATTAACCAATCGCGGAGTGTCTGTAAATGCATGGGAACTATATTATAATAAGGCAACAACTCTTCTGGTGCGGTTTACGAAATAACAAAGAGGTAGAATGACTTAGAGTTGTAATAGAAAAGTATTCAACAATATGGCACAGTCCATCTCTATGGGCACTCCACTCCACTCCTACTGTTATAATCCAACATATATTAATTGTTATAGATTGAAAATCATGTTTCTCTAGTATGATATGTGTCTTCCCAACAATTTTCTTGAGAAAAAAAAACATAACTTTGAATGCTGATTACAGATGGGGAGTATAGAGCGTGAGCTGCAAATTGATCGTTCTCTTTTGCCTAACTATATATACAATGTATGGAAACCACAAAAGTCTTAGCATATAAAAAGTGAGGTAACAATGTCTGCACTACTGCAATCTCAATGTCATGTCCACCTGTCAATGACTAGGCCTACACAACCTTACACTCATATCATTAGCTAAGCAATAACATCAACTGAATTAACTAAGTATCCAATCTCTCTCACTAGATTACCTTGTCCCCCTCCACAATCTATATGTTCATCACAAACTTAAACCACATCTCAATCCATCATCATCAACAACAACATAAGCACAATAGATTATATATACATGCATGCAATGATTTTCCAAAACAATACTAATAATTTGGTCTAATAATAATGATACTACCCATATTCTTTACTTGACATCCTAAAATCTCCGCCGTCAAACTTTCTAGAGTTTAACTACAACTATAATACATTACTAGTTAGCAAATTAAGGGTCTGTTCAGATTGTAGCCAAAATAAACCTTACCAAATTTTGGCAAGATAGCAATATTGTCAAAATTTTAGCAGGATTTCTTATGTATTTACCAAATTTGGCAACAAACTAAACGTAGACATTTTTTTGGCAACTTTACCAAAAAAATGGTATGGTTGAAAATGGCATCAAAGTGAACATGCCCTAAATACTTCCGCTTGGCCGTTACACAACTCTTGACGTTTTGGACAATGTTAAGATCAAACTTTTATATCTTTGCCTCTAAACAATTCTAAAACTGTTTAAAGGTACTGGAACAAAATATATGTAAATTTTTCTTACAAAATATTATAATAAAAGTAAAAGTTTGTTTTTATTTATTTATTGTATATAATATAGTGAAAAAACATAGTCACAGATATAATCATTTCATTTTTAATATAAAATTACAAAATGTAAGTCTAATTGTCATCTCAATGACTGCAAAATACTAAAGAAAAAATAATTAATCAAAACTTATGCACAAGCGGTTGCACTTTCAATAGGTTTTTATTACTAAAGCTAGGGATTTATCACTGGACTCCATCTCTTCGAGCATGTGTCATGAACGTATTTGCAGGTGTGAGTGTAATGTGCATACATGATGGTGTAGACGTATGCGTATTCTGACAGGGAAAAAAACTACAAAGGTAGTATACACAACCTCTCTCCTAAAATGTACGATGTCGTTAACTTTTCGCATACTATTTAACCATTCGTCTTATTAAAAAAACTACATCAATATTATTTATTTATTTGTTGTGACCATCAAATAAATTATAATCTTAACCTATATTTTTATATATCTATACTAATTTTTTTAATAACACGAATGGTCGAACGTTATGTGAAAAGTCAACGTCGTCGTACATTCTGAAATGGAGATAGTACTCGTTAGCTAACTTAGCAGTTAGCACAACATAATTATCAGCTTGTGAAAGCTTCTCCACCATCTCCATGTCCCCCCTTATATATACTCCTCGATGATCGCCATGGCCTTCCACCTCCAACCTCACTCACTCACTCAAGCCAAGCTAGCAATCGATCGATCGAGCTCAATGCCTCCATCCATGGCGACGGCGAGGGTGGCGTCACCGTCCACGGACAGGAAGCGCAAGGCCAGCAGCGAGGACGACATAGACGCCGCCGCCGCCGCCGCCGCTCTCACCTCGCCGCTGGCGCCGGCGAGGGGGAGGAAGCGGTTCGTCGGCGTGCGGCAGCGGCCGTCGGGGAGGTGGGTGGCGGAGATCAAGGACACCATCCAGAAGATCCGCGTGTGGCTCGGCACCTTCGACACCGCCGAGGAGGCCGCCCGCGCCTACGACGAGGCCGCCTGCCTCCTCCGCGGCGCCAACACCCGCACCAACTTTTGGCCCCGCCCCTCGCCGCCGCCCGCCGCCGTCGCGCCACCGGAGACGACGACGACGCCGGCGCTGCCGTCCAAGGTCACCAACTTGCTACTGCTCCGCCTCAAGGCTCGCAACCAGCAGGTCGTCGACGCCGGCGCCGCGGCGCCGCAAGAAGCCGCTCTGTTGCAGCTGCAGCAGCAGACGCCGGCGTCGTGCCAGGAGGTGTTCGTCCGTAGCCACGGCGAGGAGTACGGCTTCCACGTCGACGACTTCCTCAGCGACGCGTGCAGCAACGAGCAGTACTCCGGCGACAGCTCGCTGGGATTGGACGACGACGACGGCGAGGTGGAAGACGAGGAGGAGGAGGAGCTCGACTTCCAGTTCATGGACGTCGCGCCCGGGGCGTCGTCGGCGGCGGCGGAGGCGGGGCTAGGCGGCGAGGGCGCGCTGTGCTCGCCGTTCGAGATGGTCGCCGCGGAGCTCGGCGGCGCGGTGGACGTGGCCGCGCACGACGCGATGAGGCAGATGGACTACGAGAGGAAGATCTCCGCGTCGCTCTACGCGCTCACCGGCGTCTCCGAGTGCCTCCGGATCCGCGCCGCCGCCGGCGCCACCGCCGCTGCGCGGGACCACCTCACCGGCCTGAGAGAGGCTTGCCGGAAGAAGCAGAAATTCGCCGCCGCCGCGGCGGCGCCGCCACAGCAGCAAGAACCATCTCCTCCTCCACAGCAGCCTGAGACGCCGGCGAGCTCAGGCGGCGGCATGTCGGAGACGGCGAGCGGCGGCGGCGGCGACGGCGACGTGCTGATGTGGAGCTCACTGGACTTGGCTCCGATTTGCCACATGGCATAGTTATTATTAGTAGTAAACACCATACTTAATTAGGGCTGTGGAATTTCTTGGTGATGACATGCATGCATGGCTGATGGCTCAGACGAGAGCTCTGGAAATTATTAGCTTTGCTTAGCTTTGCCCCAATTGTTTTGTTCAACAGCAAAAAATAAAGTTTAGTTATCCTCTCTGATCATCTCATATAAACCACAAATTATAGATAATGAAGTGTTTGATGTGTTTGTTCATGATTTTCAGATGAGCACTGTCCCTGTATACATTGCAGTTTCTCCTCTTTCCCTTGATGTTATTTTTTTTTTCTTTTGTGATTTGTATTCAGTTGAATTGGTCATCAGGTGTCAAATATAATACTACTCCCTTCGTTTTTTTAATATACGACGCTATTGACATTTGGCACGACGTTTGACTATTTATCTTATTATTTTATAAAAAAATATAAATATCATTTGTTTTGTTGTGACTTATTTTATTATCAAAGAAACTAGCCTTAGCTTATATTTTATATATTTACACTAAATTTTTAAATAAGACATACATAAACGTTATGCGAAAAATCAACGGCGTCATATAAAAAACGAGGTAGTACTAGACATGAACTGTGATATTCTTTGTATTCATGACAGTGGATGATCCACTGATAAAATGGAGCCAAGGAACTCCTTAATTAGTCCACTTGACTACATGAGAAGAGCTGACCAATATCTGCTGATATTTTTTATCAGTTTAAATTCCAAGTATAGCACAGGCCTTCATTTGAAAAGAAAAAAAAGAAGGCATATAAAAAACATGAGGCATAACAAACTGAAACATTGACAGGACAACTAAGCAAATCCAAACGGTAGATAAAGCCAAACAAAGTCATCAATCTATCATTTTTGTGGTTTGTAGTCTGTACTGTACATGATGCACCTCTATGTAAGTAATACAGAGAAAAGGAAACTCAAGCAAAACTCGCACTTTAAACGGATGCCGCATGCAAGACCCAGTAATTGGCCAGTTAGCTTCATAGTCACCATATCATGTGAAACTTGTTAGTGTTTCAGACAGTTAAGAGGAGACTCCTTAGCTTGTCAAGCTCATGTTGCTGACAAAATTGGGCGAACTGCATCGGTGAAATCTTCATGGAACCTATGCTCAGAAAATCTTTGAGCGCGTTTTCGTGCTGCTGTTGCCATCTCATGCCTCTCTGCCTCCGGCATCCGCAAGACCTTGACAATTGCCTCGGCATATTCTTCCTTCTCGGAGGCTAGAAATCCTGTCTGTTGGCCATCCTCATCTAGCACAATGTCCATCATTGGTCCTGCCGATTTATGGGCTGCAGAAAGCATGGAACATTATGGCTTTGTTTACAAATCAATGGAATGACTTATGACCCAGGCATTTTGGTTGGTGGCATCAGAAAATTCAACTTCTACTTATGTATTTCAGTGGCGTTTGCTTCATGCCTTAAGAAATTCATCCTGCCCTTGGTATTGAACCCCTCTGACCCCCCCCCCCCCCAACGCGCGCACACACACCCAAAGCACAAAAAAGCTAATAATAACAACAATAATATGAAATACGGAATGCAGTCATATTTGGACTTATTCAAACCATTGTTATGTGCGTACCAGACGAACTAGAGGCACTTATCCTGTATACCATTAGCAGTCTTGGAAAATGGTATTAATCCAAATTTTACCAAGTCAATAGGCCCAGATAGGCCATTCTTGACGAAAATAAAGTGCTATGAACTGAAAAGATGGATAGGGCAATCTGGAAGTTACTTACCAATTGGAATAGCACCAGCAGCCATGTATTCAACAACACTTATCCCAAAATGCTCATCTGTCATTGAATGGAGCCCAGCAACAGCACCACCTAGAAGCTGTACCAAGTCCCTGATATATCCATATGAATATCCTGTAAGTTTACTGAAAGAACCTGCATGGTGAGAATTTCTTAGTGCTAGGTTGACCACACTACCTGTAAGAGATATCCTTGTGGAACTCCACAAGCTCATCTATGTGTAGTTCAGTGGATCTGTCTTTAAGCTTTTGCAATCTTTCCAGATCCTCTTTATTCCGACAGCTTCCAACAAATTGAAGCTTTGGCTTAGGAAATTCTGGACTTAGCTTTTTAAGAGCAATTGCAAATGCCTCAAGCTGAAGTCCATGGGCCTGGGAGAAATAAATGGGTACACATAATTTTTCTGGAATGAGTGAACAGTAAGCTCTTGCGCTAAGAATTTGATCCAGTTATAGTAAGTTGGCATACCTTTTCTGGCCGAAACTGTGCAACTGATATAAGAATAGGAGGTGTAGTTGATCTTTCCAGTGGAAGCATCTGTTTTATGCAACAAGTGTTTCTGATGAGTACCAATTTAATCATCTTCATTTGATTAAAAAAATAATGCAGTAGTAATTTATATCAATGCCTTGCTTGGTTAGTGTGTCCACATGGCTATGAGATAGAGCTAATTAGGATTGACAACCAACAGTTTAGAAATATAGATGTCTAGAATTTGGATATACCTGCAGGGCAGAAGTATCACATGGAGGGTATACCCTCCTAGTACGCTCTGGTATCCTCCAAATATTTTCAATATGGGATCTTGTCCACGATGAATTTACCATCACAAGATGTGCGCATGAACCGACCAGACCATATAACCAACTGAATATGCTATAGTAGAGGATTTTGCATCGGGACAACCATATGCTGCATCCAAAAGAATACTCTGTTATTCTTTGCAGCTGAGACCATTGTATACAATATTAATAGATCATATGTAAGGCACAGAGAAAAGAGAACATATGGCATATGAAAAGCACTTTTAGGTTGCCATGATCAAGTTGGGTTGACCAATGATTAGGTACAAAGAAAGAAGTTTACATAAATATATAATCTGTTAATGCATGATCATGTTCATCTTGATATATCTAATAAGAGAGGACTGAACAAGTCATATGTTAAAAACATAAATGATAGATGAAGAATGAGAAAAAGGGATGACTATGACCTATATGATTCTGATCCCTAAGAAACAAGAATGCACCCATGAATTAAACATATCGATTCTCCAATAAGAAGAATTAGAGTTACTCTGTGAAGTGCCCACCTTCCAGCAATACGAGAGTCGTTATTGTACATAGAACTGCGTTGCTTAACACGTTCAACCATGTCAGAACTGATTGTCGGATAATGAGTGTAGCAGATGACCTTACAGCCAAATAGCCGAGCCAGTGGATATGTAAAAGCATAGCCGCTCGTATCAAAATAGAACTGCGGGGTGAATTTGTTAAGAGCTTCCCATGCAAGATAAACTGAGCCAAGACTTTGCCCAATCATCGTGAAGTGGGGATACGTGCTTGCTTCAATCCACTTTCTCCTATTCAAGTGAACAACCTGAAAATGAAGCCCAGACATTTTTTATGCTAGTGCGCCATAATGTATCTGATTATGCTAAGAGAAAACACCAGATAATGCTTTATTTTATCTATAAAAGATAGTACTCAACTTTGATCTCCAAATATAGATCAGACAACTCCTTTAAAATTAAAATTCGTCATCATTTTTGCTCCCTTTTACTGTGTTTTTAGCCTATAAACCACCAAGGATTCTGACTAGGAAGACAATCGTATTCTCCTATTACCAGTGTTAGCCTTCAGCTACCCGTCCGAATTGTATAAAATCAACGAAATCTTGTAATAATGGCATTATTTCTTTCATATATGGGAACAGAGCATCTCTGAGACTACGTTTCTGAGATCATCAAGCAATTCCACCAACCAGTGACTAGTGAGATCCCACCGAATTTCACCCTAACTTAAATGAACTATATCAGACCAAATATTTACAAGAACAACTTAATAAACTTCTCAGAATATCCATCATTTGAGTTAAAAAAAACTAATTTGCAGAAAGACGAGCAGCTAGGACTGAGATCCAGTTTTCAGGAAGGAAGGGGCACATCTTTCTGAAGGCCCGATCGATCGGGGGACACAGGAAGGAAGGAATTGAAACCGAACCTGCGGCGGGCGGAGGAGGCGGACCCCGAAGCGGTCGAGCGCGCGGGCGGCGAGGCCGTCGGGGGAGGCGTCGGCGTCGCCGGTGAAGACGGCGCAGGGGAGGCCCGGGCGGAGCTCCTGCGCGGCGCGCACCGCGCACCAGAGCACCCGCTCCCCGCCGCCGCCGTCGTTGGTGTACGGGTGGAAGAACCCCGCGGCGGGCGCGGGGTGGGGGTGGCGGCGGATGCGGCGGAAGGCGGCGGCGAGGAGCGCGGCGAGGAGGGCGGCGAGGCCGGCGAGGAAAGCCATGGATGGATTTTGCGACGCAGATGGTGGGGTTTGGGTTTTTTGGGTTTTTGGGTAAGTGGGTTGATGGGTTCGGCCCATTGGGCCGAGTTATGGGCCTAGGCGACTGTAGCATGGGGTGCCTTCTGTTGGGAAAAAGTACACCAAATGTCCCTCAACTTGTTATCGGGATACGAAAACGTCCTCGAACCGCAAACCACGGGTCCCTTAACTATACAAAACCGGTCACAATAGGTCCCTCGGCGGTTTTGATCCCGGTTTTGTCCTACATGGCTGCTGAGTCAGCGTGGGATCCACGTGTGCCCTACATGTCATCGTGCCATGTCAGCCTACCCTCTCTTTCCCCCTCTTCTCATCTCTCTCATCTCTCTCTTCTCTCAGGGCAGCGAGGAAAGGAGCGGAGGCCATGCCGGTGTCGCACGGCCTCTCGCGGCCATCCTCTCACACCGCCAGCGCCGCCGGGGAAGGAGCTGAGCGCGGCCGTCGGGGACGGAGCAGGGCGCGGCTGACGGGAGTGGAGCAGTGCACGGCCGGCGGGGTGGAGCTTGGCGCGTGCGGCAGCCGCCGGGGAAGGAGGTGGGCGGCGGCAGCGGCGGCGGGGAAGGGTAGGCGCGGGAGGCCGTCGCCGCGGTTCTCGCCCTCTCCCCTCCCCCACGTCTCGGGGTCGAAGAGGCCCGAGAGGTGGGAGAAAGAGGAGGACGTCGGCATCGGCGGGGGCAACGTCGTTGGAGAAGGGGAGGGCGTCGCCGCGCGGGCGAGCTCGAGGGCGTCGATGGCGATGTCGTGGCCGTGGTTGAGCTTGACGGCGTGGAGCAAGGCACGGTCGTCGGGGGCGGAGCAATGCGCGCCCGGTGGGGTGGAGCTTGGCGCGGGTTGGGAGCCGCCGTGGGAGGAGCTGGGCGGCGGCGGCGGGGGGGAGGAGCTTGGCGTGGGCAGTAGCCGTCGGGGGAGGAGCGGGGCGGCGGCGGCAGTGGCGGGGGAGGGTGGGTGCGGAAGGCCGTCCTGCTGGTCCTACTAGGTCTCCGGCACACCAGCCGCTTCGCATCGTTGGCGCTGGTCCTGCCTCTCCCCACCGGCCTCCTCACATACACCCACCTCCCCGCTACTGTCGCGGCGCCAGAGGACGGGTCCGCGCCAGCCGTGGTGAACTGGGCAGAGACGGCGAGGCCGGCGACGACAACGATGCCGTCGCGGCCCGCCTCGCGGAGCACGAGGCGGGCGGCGGCGCAGGACCGCGCGCCCACCGGCCTTGCCCAACGGCCTCCTCCCCTCCTGTCGGCTAGCCTACGCCGCCCTCGCCGGTGGCCTCCGCTCCTTCCCCCGCTGCCCTGAGATTAGAGAGAGTGAGAGAAATGAGAAGAGGGGAAAAGAGAGGGTAGGCTGACATGGCACGATGACATGTGGAGCCCAGGTGGGTCCCACGCTGACTTAGCGGCCACGTAGGACAAAACTGGGATCAAAATCGTCGAGGGACCTATCGTGACCGGTTTTTGTATAGTTAAGGGACCCGCGGTATCTGGTTTTACGGTTCGAGGACGTTTTTGTATCTCGATGATAAGTTGAGGGACCTTCGGTGTACTTTTTCCCTTCTGTTGGAATGAGTTCGCTTTAAGTTCCTCGTCTTGAACTCCGGGTTTGAATCGTGTCCTTGAACCGTAGCACCATATATAATGCGTTCTTGAACTTGCCATACCGAGGTATCCAAGGTCCTAGAACAGTATTGTCGCGATTTCGACTAACGTAGTAGTGAGTGGCCCTATGTGGTGTCCCAGGACAGTATTGTCGTGATTTCGACTAACGTGGCACTGAGTCAACATGGACCCTATGTGGTCCCCGCAGGTTAGTGGTCAGTCTTCCTCCTCTAGATCTCCTCTTGTTTCTCTTCCTCCTAGGCCCCAAGTGGTCATCGACAGGGCAGAAGTGCAATGTCTGATAGGATAGCAGCTGGACGGTGGCACCACGCTACCGAGCTGGACTAGTCGTCAGACTGCAGTTTTTCAATATTTGTTGGTTTTCCTCGCTTTTTTTTAGCGATTTTTTTATGGGGGAGGAGGCAAGAGGAGGAAAAAGGACGACCATGCTTTTTAAGTAATTAATATATGAAAAATCGCTATGCCGCTTACTCATTGCGCAGAGGAAGATCACGGATGTTGCATAATTACTTCCATAGCAACCAAATGGCAAGAACTTTGTAGCTACTGGATACTGTGTGTGAGCTACTGGATTAAGAAAAAAACGGATGGATCCAGTACTTGCTTGATCCACTTCGTCGACCCATTCTCGGTCATATGGTCCACGAAAATTTTTAATCTCCATTGAAATGCACAGGCAATCTAAAGTTTGCAACGGGACAAACAATTGACTAAGGATAGACTTTCAAATTTGCCACCAAGCTAACTTTCAAAAAAAAAATGTTACCATCAAGATATATGTTGCCGGCTTCGACACATATATAGACATAACATTATGTTTTCAAAAAATAAGAAAAAAAAACATAACATTATCACAAATCAATGAATATGGACGTCAAAATTCACCATATATAAGCATCGATCCTGGCTTTTTTTTTATGGTGGAAATCTAGCTACTTGGCAAGTCAATATTCTGGCTCGATCGTCCTCGATCTTACTGGCTACGTACGGTAATTTCCACTGGTCACAAAAATATGTTATACTATTCTGGATATGATTCAAATCAAACTTGTTGTTTTTTACGTGGTTTATATGCCGCAGCTTGAGTATATCTCACCCAATGACCCAAACACTTGATAATGTTACGAATTTATTGTCTACTTTTACAAAAGAAAAGGAAAGAAATTTAGTGCTGAAAGTTACAATTTTGGCACTAAAATATCCAAAAATGGTATGTTTTTCTGTGGTAAGAGAAAATGACCCCCTTTTTTTTAAGAACGGTATAAGGGCATGTACAAAGGTAGAGTCGGATATGAGCTCTACGTTATCTAGAGACTAGCATCCTACAACAGTTAGAGACAATATGGTCTCTAATCATTAATGTATCAAAATATTTTTTCTTACTTTTCTTTCCTTTGTTTCACCATCATGCAAAAAAATTTGCTCTAATAAATGCTAAGAGTCGACTCTGAGCCGTTGTCATGTATAACAACCATACTCCTTTCTCTTTCTTCTATGTCACCAAATTTACTTGCATGGCAATAGAGAGAGACCACTAATAAACACCGTTGTATATGCCCTAACACATGAAGATGCTTCTATATATGCATGTTTTCGTTGATGCCGGTGCGAATCTAGCTGAGAATATCATCTGGATCAGCACCATTACATACACGATGAACCTTGAACTGAAAAAAATAATGTTTTACCACAAAACATTTGGAAATTTCAATTCATGCGGTAGGCTGACCCCAGAATCTAGTTAGTTTCATCCTGAGCAGAGCTAGCATTCACTAGCGGATCTAGAAACATTTTAAGTCCCATGCAAAACCCACTAGCATAGATAATCTGCATTGTACAATACTCTACTAAACAAAAGATTTTTCTGGACAAGCATCTTAATAGGTTGCAGTCGAGCGATAAGTGTCTGAATCTGACCAGTTGACTGGCCGCAAGCGATATACATTATCGTGTGTGGTCGCTTAAGAGATCCGCACATAATAATGCAGCCGCATCACATGTGGTCCTCTTAAACGATCGCTTAAAAGACCTGCATGCGATCATGGACCATATATCCATCCCCTAGACCGAGCTACTACCGGTTGAACCTGACGTTTCTCTCTCTAAAACGAAGCACAAAAAGATGATGTTTTCAACTCGAAATCTTTGCTTGCCTGCGAAGATATATCTTCGCGTGAGAGGTTGGGCCGTCCACAAGCGAAAAATGGTGATCTTCACATACACCTGGGAGCAGACGGACCGGCCAACTGCACATGAAAATGTTTTTCGGCCATCTAGAGAAAACCCTTTCTATAATAGTGATACCAGCAACATGCCATTTTCATTTCTTGCCTTGTGTAAGCCAGTTAGGGCCACTATCTAGGATAGTCACATTGGCTCTATCAGGGTCTAGCATGGCAAGTGGCGACATCTTTGATAGTAGCTCTTCGAGTCAACTTGCCGTCAACTGTTCGTCTGTTGCCACCCATTTCTTACCCACATGATTTTCTTGGATATGTGAGTTCATCTGAACCGTTAAATCTCAATCGGACGGAGGAAAAAAAATAAAAATCAACAGTGAATATTTTGAAGTTTTCTCACATAAGAAGATTTATATGCTTTATATATGGGGGAAGATGAGGTATAGCTTTACGTGCATAAAACATAAACGTTTAATTATTCAAGTTCGCTCAACAAGGCGCGAAAAAATGGCGCGAAAGCTGTTCGTTCTCGTGCTCATCATGTGTTCGACCACCGCCCTAATTACTTGCACCAATGGCGGCGCCGGCGACGGAGGCGAAGGGCTCCACATGAAGCTCACCCACGTCGACGCCAAGGGTAACTACACCGCGGAGGAGCTCGTGCGGCGCGCCGTCGCCGCCGGCAAGCAGCGGCTGGCCTTCCTGGACGCCGCGATGGCCGGCGGCGGCGACGGCGGCGGCGTGGGCGCGCCCGTCCGCTGGGCGACGCTGCAGTACGTCGCCGAGTACCTCATCGGCGACCCGCCGCAGCGCGCGGAGGCGCTCATCGACACCGGCAGCGACCTCGTCTGGACGCAGTGCTCCACCTGCCTCCGCAAGGTGTGTGCCAGGCAGGCGCTGCCGTACTACAACTCGTCGGCGTCGAGCACCTTCGCGCCGGTGCCGTGCGCGGCGAGGATCTGCGCCGCCAACGACGACATCATCCACTTCTGCGATCTCGCCGCCGGCTGCTCGGTCATCGCCGGCTACGGCGCCGGCGTCGTCGCCGGCACGCTCGGCACCGAGGCGTTCGCGTTCCAGTCGGGAACGGCGGAGCTCGCCTTCGGGTGCGTGACCTTCACGCGGATCGTCCAGGGCGCGCTCCATGGCGCCTCCGGCCTCATCGGCCTCGGCCGCGGCCGCCTCTCGCTGGTGTCGCAGACCGGCGCCACCAAGTTCTCCTACTGCCTCACCCCTTACTTCCACAACAACGGAGCCACCGGCCACCTGTTCGTCGGCGCGTCGGCGAGCTTGGGCGGCCATGGCGACGTGATGACCACGCAGTTCGTGAAGGGCCCCAAGGGCTCCCCGTTCTACTACCTCCCCCTCATCGGCCTCACCGTCGGGGAGACGAGGCTGCCGATCCCGGCCACGGTGTTCGACCTCCGGGAGGTCGCCCCGGGGCTCTTCTCCGGCGGCGTCATCATCGACTCCGGCTCGCCGTTCACGTCGCTCGTCCACGACGCGTACGACGCGCTGGCGTCCGAGCTGGCGGCGCGGCTGAACGGCAGCCTCGTGGCGCCGCCGCCGGACGCCGACGATGGCGCGCTGTGCGTGGCGCGGCGCGACGTGGGCAGGGTGGTGCCGGCGGTGGTGTTCCACTTCCGCGGCGGCGCGGACATGGCGGTGCCGGCGGAGAGCTACTGGGCGCCGGTGGACAAGGCGGCGGCGTGCATGGCGATCGCCAGCGCGGGGCCGTACCGGAGGCAGAGCGTGATCGGCAACTACCAGCAGCAGAACATGCGCGTGCTCTACGACCTCGCCAATGGCGACTTCTCCTTCCAGCCTGCCGACTGCAGCGCGCTCTGATCATCCAAGCCGCCCCGTGTCATAATTTCGTAAATAAAACCATACAAACTTTTTATTAATCAATCATGATATAATCATTCACAAGTAATTAATTTGTGGTTAAAAATAAGGCAGTTAATACTGTCCGTTATTCGAGAATGGAGGTGGTAATTTGCCTAGATGTTTCTTCAGTTACGTACCCTAAGACAAATCTTGATCGATCGAGATGTAATACATAATTGAAGAAACATCCACTGTCTCGATGGTGATCTAGCGGGGTAGGGGGAACTCAAGTCCTCCCAACACCCCACGCTGGATCCGTCCCTGAGTAGGGCAGAGAGGGAGCGACAGTAGTCCAAGCTACCGTGGCAATGGCGGAGGGGTGTGATGTCGCCAGATCTGCCTCTCCCCAACCCTATCGCATGCAGATATATCCTTTGTCACAATCCTCCATGATTGCATCCTCATTGAGCTCTATCGGTTGCCACCGCTGCCTCATTAAGCTTGTAGCCCTAGACTACCCCTTGAGCTCTATCACCGCCTCCTCGTCGAGCATGATGACAATGATGAGCGGTCACCGCCAGCTCAGCCTCCCCCTCTGGCCCTCTTTCTCATTCTCTCAAATCTCTAGCCTTTTCTCTCATTCTCTCAAATCTCTAGCCTTCTCTCTCATTCTCTCATTCTATCTCGGCTCATTGAGAGGAAGTGGATAGCTAGACTCTTGGAGTTGGAGCTTAGTCAAACAATTTCAGTTCCACTCAAAATAATAGTGAAGCTAACTGGAGTGCTATAACAAATGAACTAAAGAGATGGAGTTGGGTTTAGGCTGCTCCTCAACTTTACTCCAGACCTAGCTGTTGGAATTATATTAGGAGTTGGAGTCCTACTAAATAGGCCCAAAGAAAAGCGGATTTACTATTTCACTTACGACAATTTTTTTGTGGCTCTTATATTTCACTTTTTCATTCATAGGATGTTACATCAAGATCTGTGTTCTTGTATCTAACTTGCAGTTACATTTAGTTCCAGTGCACTTACACTCAGTTACAGTGCGCCAAAAATAGATTTACAGTAGTTTTTTCTTTAGATTTATGATTCTTGACATGTTTGTCTTTTTTGTTATTGGTTGAAAATAGATATATTAGCCGAAACTGTCACGTGGACGACATATTAGCCGAAACCACCCTCAAAACAACTATGAGAGTCGTTTTGCACCGATTTAAATACTTGACGGGGAGGGGATGATATACCCTTTTTACGGTTAAGAGATACGAATCAGATTAGATTAGGTAGAATGGACTTTCTGCACGTCTTTGTAATAAAAAAAACAAGTAGGCATGTGGGCCATGTTCTATGGGCCGTTTCTTACGGGAGATAGCTTCGATGGGCTCTATCTTTTGGGCCTCCTGTGACCTACATGGGCCGCACTTCTTTCTATGATGGGCCGGGGGCCCACATGGCGGCATCCTCTCTCTCTCTCTCTGTGCACCTTATCCCCTCCAACTCCGATGGTGGGCAGTGGAATCTGCTCCCCTCAAAATCACCTCCCCACCCCCCACCTCCTCGCCGCCGCCGCCGGCCACCGCCGCCGCCGCCGCCGGAGGGGGGAGGGGGACGACGACGGAGGCGCACATGCTGGGCACGACGGCCGCGCAGCCGACGAGCAGGCGGGGCGGGCTCTCCACACCTCGTACGTTCCCCCCCTCTCGTTCGTATGCTTGTTCATAAAAGCTTTTTGCGCTCGCGTTTCTCATCCGCGCGGTGGGCTGTCGTCGAAAGGCACGAGGCATGGATTTGGGTGCGGCGTCGACAAGATGAATCGTCTGCGGTTGGCGATTCCCTCCGCTTCAAAGAATGTGAGCCGCTGTGGGAAGCTTGCTATCTGCAGAGCACAAAGGTCTTTAACTTCTAATCTATGATGTTTGTATTCTTCAGGCAAAGTATTTTTTGAGTCTGGATGTAGAGCTAAGCTACTCCTAGTTTTATAGTCTCTAGATAGATATAGCATTTCATGGTAGAGACTAGAGAATGAATGACAGGAGTGCCCTCTTAACATAATAATAATAGTATTATTACCTAAGTGGATTTGCAGTATAGTTGAATTGGAGTCATAAACTCAAGTGATTCTATATCCCCATGTCCTATTTCTAATCACAGTTGAGTCGAACACCGCCACAATGGAACAGAATTACTGTGATCTTTATCGAAGATGGATATGGCCATTGGTTTGATGCATCATATTCTTCAGTAGAAAATGATTGCTGCAACTCTACCATTGCAAGTAGGCTGATTGGTTACTTTGTAACTTTTAGATAGTGGAGTCTGGGGAGCTGCTTCATTAAATGGCATATTCTCCTTCATGCACTTCTTTGGATAGGTCTTGTTACATTTGGACAATCTTGTAATCAAATATTCTTCTATAATATGTTTTCAGCTGCATGATTATAGTATTTGTCAGAATGTCCTGTGACAGTTGATGTGATTTGCTTGTACAGTGAAGATTCTAAAGGTGGGGGAGGATTCTTGACTGGATTTCTTATAGGGGGCGCAATCTTCGGAACATTGGGATATGTCTTTGCTCCTCAGGTTTTGTCAAACCTTTTTAAAAAAATTATGCGTGGCATCGGCACATGTGAAGTAGATAAAGAAACCCCTCATATCAAATGTTGATTCATCATGTTTATTTTACAATACACTGCCTTACTCTCTAGTGCTGTAGCGAATAGCCAATGTCTTGTTGAGCAATTTAGAAGATTATGAATTTCTGATTTTAACAACCTAACATATCCATGCTCGAGTTGACTAGGTGGAGTGCTAAGTGCTAACTAAAAGTTATGCATCTGATATACTATTCACCGATAATAATGTTGTTCATAAGCAATGCTTTGTGTTAGTCTTCTATGGTCATGCTCGGCGCTATTGTTATCTGGTTTGCAAAGATTGTTAATTTGGAATTGGTTGTTAACAACATAGCGTTCTTGAGCAGATCAGCAAGACGCTAGATTCTTTATTAGATGAAAATGGACAAGACAGTGAATCTGATGAACATGGCCTTGTAAAGCCACGGTATGGTCGATATTATGATGAAGGTTTAGAGGTAAGAAATCAAAAATATCGCTGGACTATTCTACTTGTAACATGCTTTTTCTGGCAACTAAAACTATGAATTGGATCCAGAAAACCCGTCAAACACTGGGCGACAAGATAAGCCAACTAAACTTGGCAATTGACAAAGCTGCCTCCCGGTTGAAGCGCGTTGCTGGCAATGTGGAAAAGGAAGCTATTAATGATGAATCAGAAGTAGAGACTTCTTAGAACTTGTACCTTTTCAGGAGTTCTGTTTGCTGAGTAACAAATCTTTTTGTAAATTATTCGTTTCCTTTACACTGTATGTATATGTTAATACACAAACCCTTCATATGCATAATTTCACAGACTTGCATAGTATATTCTAGATTATTGCCACAAAAATTTGCTCCCAAGATTCAACTATACAAATTTGTTGTGACTGCTATTTTCTTTAAGCCTCCGTATGTGAAATTAATGACTACTAATTTTTCTTGAGTCTCCATATGTTAACTATATTACCATCAATTTTTCTAAAGCTTCCCTATGTGAACTGATTGAGTATTCACTGAATTTGCAGATCGAAATATCTTCATTCAACGATAATGAGCTTGTGGCGGAAAACTTGAACGAGCAAGGATTTGTGCAAGGTGAAACAGCAACGTAGTGTATGTTTAAAACAGGCAGCAGAGCAGCCGAGTAAAGCCATCAGCGCCTTTGGAACAGTAAGTAGACTGCAGAATCCCAAATTGAAAAAATGTTGTAGCCAATCCATTTATATTGTGGCTAATTTTGGGGACATTTTTTCTGCAAACATGTAGCTGAACTGGATGGCCTGTCCAACCGATTGGCAGCATGAAATGAATGAAACATTTTCGTATTTGTGCCCTTTTCCCTGATACTCCTTCAGTGTTTTTGTGATCCAAGCAGATATTGTGATTTGCGAGGTAGATCTATCTCTGTTAATCGTAAGGTACGGAGAATTAACTCGAAATCCTAGGCCTAACCCCTAGATAGCTGCTGATTAAGGGCTTGGTTGACAGCTACAGATCCTATCTCCAAATCCTTCATGATCCCAAAGACTAAACAAAAACGTTTGGCTGGATACCAAGCTCCAAAACTCCATGCATGCTTAAACAAGTATGAAAACACTTCATTTATGAACATGAAAACACTTCTGGTGATGCTCGTTACCCAATTTTGCTGTTCAAATTTAAATTTTATTTGAGATTTGCTCCCCCCTTTCCGATAGGATGACTTTGAAATCGTATAGGTAGGAGAACGCTATTTGAGAAAACCGTATTTTTACAAGCGTTGAGAAAATAATAATTTTATGAAATACAAGAAATTTCATCTACACAACTACACAAGAAACTCCAGGATGTTTTTTTTTCTTTTCGCTGTTGAATAATTGATTGTATAGGAAACACATATAACAATGATATAAATAACAGCTGTACAATGGAAATGCAAGTGTGTGTGTACACAACTTGGCGGATGAAACCTACTTCAATTCTTCCCCATTTTGAAACATACATTAATTCTCCTTTATATTGCCACCAAAAATTTTACAAAACCTATCCCTAATAATAACCAAGCCATCACACTAAGTAGATCAACTGTTAGGGCTCAAGATTAACCAGAAGATGATGATGATTTTGCCAGTAATTACCACTCCCTCCGTCCCATAAAAAACCAACACTCGATGCGACACATCCTAGTACTACGAATCTAGACATATTTCTATCCAGATTCGTTGTACTATAATGTGTCACATACAGAGCTAGATTCACTTTTTGGACGGAGGGAGTAGACCATATCCATGGCGTCGTCGCGTACAGCGTGTACTTCTCCCAAGAGCGAGAGGAGGAAGAAGAAGGAGAGATGGTCAGCTAGGACACCGAATGCCTCGTGTTCCGCGACGGCGTCGACCTCGTCTCCTCGCCGGGGCTCTCCGACGTGTCGGAGCTGCTGTTCTCGCCGCTGCTCGCCTTGCCAGACCACAGCTTGCTCAGTATCTTCTTCGGCATCAGCCCGCCGCCGCCGCTCCCCTTCGCTGACGCCGACGACGGCGGCGGCTTCTTGCAGGCGGCCTGATCGCCGCCGCCGCCGGAGACGCCGCCGTTCTTGTTGTTGGCGAGGCTCATCGACCGGAAGGAGGTGACGTCGACGGACGTCGTCGTCGGCGGCGGCGCCCACTGGTCGTCCTCGGTCGCCGTCGACCTCGAGCTGCCGTACGAGTTGCCGTCCTGCTCCCTGGGGAGGAGGGAGCGCGCTGCCGGCGGCATGTCGGCGGCCGCCGCCGCCGACGCCGACGACGCCGCCCGGACCTGCTCGAAGAAGAGGACCTGCACGACGACGCGGAGCGGGAGGCGCTCGTTCTGCACGGCGTGCATGCTCGCCTCCGGCGACAGCTTCTTGCAGTCCATCAGCCCGCACAGCCTCTTCTTCTCCCCCTTCGTTAAACCCGGATGCTCCTGCAAAAATGTCACAAGCTGACAATTAGCTCAAAAGTTTTAAGACTGTTTGACCAAATCTCGTCCTAAATGTTACTCCCCCCGTCCCAAAATATGAGGGTTTTTAGGTGAATGTGACACATTCTAGTACAACAAATTTGGATATAAAGCATATCCAAATTCGTTATACTAGGATGTGTCACATCCACCCAAAATCCCTTATATTTTGGGACGGAGGGAGTAGATATCTATAACCGGGGGTGTAGTTCAAAGGTTTCGAGCTTCTTGGATCATGTGCCATGTTACTCTATCTGATCATAAATATTTCACAAATATTTGACGTTTATGACAGATTTTGTCAAATTTGGAAGTTTCTTAAAAGTTTGATCAAATCTTGGTCTAAACGTCAAATATCTATAACCGGAGGGGAGTAGTTCAAAAATTTTGATCTTTTCGAAGCATGTGTCATGTCGTCAATGGGGGGGATGTGGTGAAACATACCTTGAGATACATGTCGATGGCGCGGTATAGCCCGTCGTGCACGGGCCGAGTTGCGAGGGGAACCATCTCAGTGAGGGCGATGAACTTCGAGAGTGGGAGGTTGGGGTCCTTCGCAATCTCAGCCAGATACCCATCAACCAGCTTCGCGATCGCGAGCTTCGAGCTGCGGGAGACACCATTCAGGTTGTCATCATCACCATCCATGGCTTCCTGATCATCATCCTCTTGTAGCTTGGCGCCATCATCGTCCTCGCGGTGCTGCGCCATGAACTCCTCCAGCATCGCCGAGATCATGTCCACATTGTACATGGCGGCCTCGTCGGAGTTAGCGGGGATAAGGAGGTCCGAGACCGAAGCCTCATCCAGCTTCGCGCCGATCCTCTTCGTAAGATTGTCGCGGCACGCCTCATCTGATCCCAACAAGCATGAGGCTCTGAGAAGCTTAAGGAGGAAAGAGCATGGGACTGAACCTTCCTCAGATGGAAGCAGGGAGATGATGGTCTCAAGAGCTGCAGAGTGCCTTGTGCAGTCAAGCCCATTGCTGACAGCACTTTCCAGTGAGCTGAACAGCCTCCTGTGAGCATAAGCCCTCAGTGCCTCACCAATCACCTCACTGCTGATTCTCCCCTTGGCCTTGATGGCCATGATGACCTTCTTGTACAGGCACATCTCAAGGTCACAGAGATCCTCTACCCACCAGTCTCTGGGCACCATCTGCTGCTTCCTTACGCCGTTCCAGTGCGAGTCGAGGCCGTTCTCCGACGGTAGCTTCCTCCTGTTGTAGGTGTATGACCACTCAACCTCTGACGGATCGATGGAGGCCTTCGTCGCGATCGAATCGACGCAGTGGTTGATCACCTTGAGGTTCTCCGACCATGGCAGCAGTGACTTGGTTGTCTGAAGAACGATGATGGAGTCCTTCCAGGTTCTGAATATGCTTGAGGACAGGAACACATCGATCTTGTAGATGAGGTTCCCCTTGTCGATCGTCTCGAACATCTCAAGATACTCGGCTGCGCAGCGGGCTGCGAGGACGTTGTACGCGTTGAGGGTGACGATCATGCCATAGCAGAACTTGGCACAGATCTCGAATGCTGCAGGTCCCCCCGGGATGTCGGAGATGTCTATTTCGTCGTTGCTCTCTTCGTTTGTCGATGCCACCAATGTTTGCAATCGCGAACTCTTCGACAAAAGAGGGAACTGCATTTGATTTCAGCAAGAGTATGAGTAATCATTATATTAGTCACAAGAAAACTGCTGATAAGCTAAATTAAATATATTTAATCATGGGAAGAACTGCACTGAATATGGATCAGCTATCACTAACTCCATTAACCATATGCCAATAGAGGACTGAAACAAAATATTTTATTTTAAATAGAATGTTATGGCATCAAGAGGAGTACATGATAAAAGAAAATAGTATCAGAGATACAGAAGTTTTGAATCAGTTCCAAAATTCAAGTGGAATTGTATTTGTGTTCAAGAGGTTAAAATAGTGGAGGGGAGAGCTCAAAGAAGTAACAAAAACGTTCAGTCAAAGGGACTTGAGTTCAGATAAATGAAAAATCATGTATGCTCAACAGTTCAAGGCTGTACTTGGCCATTTGCTAAAACACAGAGTGTTAAGACTTAAAGACAGTAAACTTGTAAGATAGTAGAGTTGGTGTGTACCTTGTGAAGATAAAACTTCACTTCCCCTACAATGATTACGATGTCCGTTGCCAACTCAGTTGCGACAAACCTGAAAAATACATTTTCATCAAGGACACATTCAACATTAGCATCACAGAGATGCATTACAAGCAGAGTTAGGACAAAATAAATAGGTGTAAAGCACCAAAGATAAGCAAATAAGTATCATTTTTTTTTCTTTTTGAAAAAAAGAAGTGATCAGTAGTTAAAGCACCGATTTTCTGAAGATTGTTTTGTTATGTTTTTTAGGGGCATGTTTGCGGTCTCACAGCTGCTTAATTGCTATATATGAATATCTTGAAGATCATTTTTGAGAGAGAAATGGCTGTTGATTATTTTGTGGAGTAATTGAGAGACTAATAATCATGTTGCACAATGAGGACTCCCACAAAACTACATTAGAAATGGCAATGGAGGAAATAATAGTGAATAGCTGATAAATTGTGTGCTTTTATTTATATGACTGACTACAATGATTGCAGGGGCAAATGGTCACACAACAGTGGATGGTGAAAAGGTTGTCTTGGAAAAAAAAGAACATTGAAACAAAAGGTCCCTGGAATCTAAACAATCTAATAATGCATCTTCATGATAAAGATGAAATGACATATGAAATCAAATCTCCAGCCCCACTGAAACCGCTAAGTGTAACAAAAGGAGAGACAGAGTGTTAGCCTAGAAAAAGTGCCATGGGCAAAATGATAAAGCAAAGAAAGCAGCAAATTCATAGAAATTAACTCTATGCATGACAGATATAACTAATCAAACTGCTCAGTGGTCCAAGGAAAATGATGACAACAAATTCATTGTACAAAAGGTTAGGGAATTGTAGAAGTTTCATTTTCAAAATGGACCACAGCTCCACCTACCAAACCCTATGTCTGCTAGATGAACATTAAACAGGCTAGTGGAAAAGATGCAATGAAAATGGCACATGCTCCGAAGCACACAAATCGCTCAAGAAGAGATGCCATTGGCAAAGAATCAACGATGATGCATCCTATAAAGATGATCAATTGTATAGATAGCCTTTTGCAAGCTATCATGAGAACCACTGCTTAACACCACAAGTGCTCACTTTCACAAAGGTCTTTTGGGTGCCAATCATTGTCAAATGAAAAAATAATGTGAACTTCACTACAATTTTCCTTTTTAGATTCAGCCTAGTTACTAGATATACCATCACCAGAAACTACAAAAGAGGGTGTTATAGTCTAGCTTTTAATTAAGGTCACATTCATTCAAATTTCTCTGATATAAATAGTGTGAAAACCCTCCCAAACAAAAACCAGAACCATAGTTTCTTGGGAGACAAATACAACAGTCTATCTTTCAGTGGATCATTTAAAAAAGCTCACAAGCATTTCCCTACTCAAGATTACAGGGAAACAACATGAATTCAGTACCTTCACTTATTTAACTACACTAACATAACTGCACAGTTAGGCATCACTTTGCGCCCACATAGCTAAAGGCCATGCTTCCATGTGACCAGCTAACGATACGGTTGGCCCCTCCTACTGACTACATTAATTTAGTTTTAGCTCATGATGCAATGATAAGTAGATCCTTTGGCCAGATAGAGAACTGAGATTCACATAAAAAGGCATGCATCCACTCCTACATTCCACAAAATGGATCAGGTCATCCCTTCTTAAGATCATTGCGTAGTTAGATGCAGCGGCGTGAATTTTTATTCCATTATCTGAAACTTAAGATCACTTCAATTCATGGACTACTGATCCACAAAATAAAAGCTAGAGCTCAAGTGTATCAATTCAAAAGTCAAAAGTTACTAATTGTGAAGTGAAAAAAAAATCATCTTTATAACCTGAAAAAATTATGGACAGAACTAGTTAAGGACTATCTCACCTGATATTGTTTCCCTCTGTCTGAAACACATCTGGCTTTGATCCAAGCTTCATATACTTCATCTTGACACACTAAGAACAACCTCAATCTGTCACCTTTTTTTCTTCTTATTTCCCTTCTTTTTTTCACCCTTTACTTTACTCCTCCAAGTCTCCAACAATCACCAGAAAATCAGAACCACAAGACCAAGATGAAGCAAGAGACCACTGGCACACAACTATTTACTCCTCAGTCCAGAGGGCAAGAGCAACTATTAACTACAAAGATCTATGCCCTGGTGTCCCCCTTGCCAAGAAACCAAGTATTCTCTCTCTCTCTCTAGATTGGCAAACTATTGACCCAATCTTGTCAAGCTCTGGGTCCAAGAAAGCACAATGCCAGGAAACCAAGAACTCCTCCAAGTTGGAAATTGGATCACACAAACACAGAGGAGGAGGCAGCACCTGCAAAGCACAAGAGCAGCATCTTGGGGTGAGGAGACAGTGAGAATAATTGGGTGAGACAATGGGGGATGGGTTGTAGGGAGACCATGGGTACAAGCACTAGTGAGGCTGGAATCTTATCAGGTTGCAGTGGGGAGGAAAAACCACATGAAGGGGTGCAAATAAAAATCCAATCTTGAGCTCTTTTTTTAAGGAATTTGCACATGTAAGGCAGTCAAACAGTGAGTAAACAAAGAACTGCATGCTGCAGACCACAGGTTTGAGCAAACAGTTGCTTTCCTTGGACCAAGATGAGATTGGAGTGTACTGAAAAAAAAGGAGGTGGTTCTGATTAACTGATTTCCAACCAGATTTTTTAGTGGAGAAAAAAAGGGAGATTTTTTTTACCCTCAAGACTAACCTAATTCAAGAAAAGGAACAGAACTAGGAAATTAATGTTCATAGAGATGAACTTGGAATAAAGTGTGTATACAAAAACTGGAAATGGCTGCACTGCAGAACCATCAATCCAAGAAAAAAAATCCAGTAGACTGGTAAGATTTTTTTTCCTCTCAAGATAAGTAGTGAACCAACCAAACAAAAATGTACAGACTGATGAATCCCTAAACACCAATCCCACACACTGCTCCAAAGCTAGATAACACCATCTCTCTGAATTGAGTCACATTTCCAATGGAAGAACAACTTCATGAGATGAGGTCTGAACAACTTCAACACAACCTAACAGAGAAAACATAAAGGAAAGATGAACTTACAAGAAACTGAAGCTCAGGCAAGATCCTTTTCTCTCCCTTTGAAGATCAAAAGATCCTTAGCCACAGGCAAGAACTGATGCTGATGCAGGAGAGCTAGGGAGAAAAATACAAGAAGATTGCAGAGAGGAGAGGGAGAAGGAAGAGAAGCAGTGAAGTGAAGCAGGAGGCAATCAAGCAGACATCTTGCACCTCAGCTCCTGTGTGTTTTTCCCGGGAGGGACAGCTTGTTCAGCTTGCTTTGCTGCTACTCCAATGCAAGAAGGGAGGGAGGTGGTAATGGAGTTAGTTTGGCTTAAAAGATAGTGCCCGTAGGGTGGGGGGCAAGTGGATGGACTTCTCTGTCCTCACAAATAAAATCTCTCATTTTTTCCCCTCTTTACCTTAATTTTTTTAAAAGAAAATGGCAATAATATTTTCCGTTGGATGGAAGACGCATACATCGTACGTACATATTTCCTCCGTCTCATAAAAGACAAACCTAGTAAATAATACGTCTGTTCAGATTCATAATATTATGATGTATCAAATCTCGTATTAGTTCTGTTTTTCATGGGACAGAAGAAGCAAACAACTATGCATGCATTTCCTATACATACACAACCATGGATACACCCCTAACATATGCTAAAGAGACCCACACCTTAAGCATACTCGCAATTTCGTAAATGCAGAGTCTCCTAACATATGTTCAAGTTGTCGAAATCTCTAGCCTTTTTAAATTTATGTTGAAAACCCATAAATATCGCACACATATAGATAGGATATAATTATGTACCCACGACGTAATACGACACCATATTACTGGTGCTTTCTAGATGATAAATTATTATCCTCTTAAGAAAGGAAGAAAAAGAAGAATAAATGTCCTATAATGTCTCAGACAATGGAATGGAGAGGGGAAAAAAATGTAGCAAAATATACACGCACATATCGCATCAGTTCCTTTCAGACAAAATCAAGGCCCATGCTGTGACCTCTGAGGTTCCATGTCGGGGATGAGCAGCATCTCTCACCTTCAATTGACAGTGAAGGTTAGGAGCCGTGACACTGCATCCATAATTGCGTATTTTGCATGAGAGATGTGAGATTATATTCCACAGTGTCATATAATGAAAGCCGTCCATTCTCTGTCAGGAGTTAATGCCCAAGAGTGACAGCATTGTATACATGGTCCCTCTAATTATCAATTTTGGGACCCCAAATTAGGCCAATTTGGTACACGCGTTGCTGATCAATCATCAACTTGTGCAATTATGGAGATAAGCAGAGAGCAAATGGAGAGCTTTCATTGATGACGATCTTGATATGAAATCCAAACACCTCGCCTCTTAAAATATGGCTATTTCCAGTGTTTAAATTTTATGCTGAAATATAACTACTTTGAAGTACTAAGTACTAATTAAGGGGTCTTCATAGGGATGAAATGTCCAAAATACCCACCATCCCACACCTATCTGGCTACCTCCATCAACTGACATTTAGTGAAGGGCAATCTAATCTTTTTACCTCCCTTTTTATTTTGGGAAAATTTATAATGGCATGGTTCCAATTTACCTTTTTATTTTTCATGAGAAACTTCAAAAGTAGCTACTATATTTTTATATGGATGGAGTATTTGATTTCAGAGAGAGGGAAGCTGTGAAGGGAGGATTAACAGTGGAAATGAAGTATAGAATATCAGTCAAAGTACCTGATGTAATGTTCAAGAATTTTCTTTCAAAAGATCATGTTGGGTCAGTTCTGTTCTCTCTTTTGACCAAACTTCATTTGTTTACATCTTCAGTACGTTGCTTTGGTCTTCTCCATGGCCATCTGAAGCACCGGCCTTTCCTTCTTTTGACCCAAATTTGTGTCAGTGTGCAGGTTTGACTACAAACTTCACTAACTTAAACTTCTGAAGTAAAAGTATTAAGCAAAATCTAATGTAAACAGAGTGCATACAAATATATAGATAACTTGAATGTATATACTTATATTAACATCCTAGCATCATGGATGATCCTTAATTGTGATGTCAGGTAGGATCACACTACTTGACCTCAGAAAAATAGATGAAAAATAACCCCCAACTGTGCTTAAGAAGGTCTCATCATATCCATCGTCTCCTTAAACGTTTCCCAATGATGGCGCTCCCCTTTTCAAAGTATATTAACAACACTTGTGGTCTACTCTTGCCTGAAGGCAAGCTAATCTCACTTCATCTTTCTTGGCCCCCTCCCCAAAATCTAATATACTTTTCTCTCTTGCTTTCTTTGCATGATTAATTTTCAAGTCATATGCATTGTTGCACCTGAAGTTTTACAATATCATGGTAGCATACAAATGAGAGGTGACATACATGATACATTGGAAATCAGCACTTACAATCTTATTTTAGTCCATGTTTATAATGTAGGATTTTTTTTCTTTAACAATATTAGGAGCTTCTCCTACATTAGAAAATTGTTTACTACCTCTTTAGTTTTTTTTTACTTGATGATTTGGGCATTGAAACGGTTTAGAAATTTTGGTTGTGTACGTCCGATTTGGATGCAGAGGCCGAGTTTTAATCCACTTTCTAACAATTGTTTTTAAGGAAATTCTACTGCATTGGAAAACTGTTTATATTTGGATATTTCCGACAAATTATACTCCACATCACCTTGAAAATGTACTAGCAAATATGCACACTGAGGCCTGCAGCTACATGGTGCAGTGCCAAATAGAAATAGTGAAAACGTGAGGTGGCTATGGTGAAATGGAACAAAACACAAAGTACAAGCTTTGCTCTTTCTCTTTATACTATTTATGTTAGGCTTCAAACTTTTTATCTGTCACACTGGTGAGCCTTGACACATGGTGCTGACTCCCCACATTGTGATCAGGAATCTGCTCATTGTTATGAGGGCATGCCTGTACTACCCTTCTTTTCTCCTACACATCTGCCCCTATCTCTCTCTCTCTCTCTCCTTTCATTAAATTTTTTGTTGCAAGATTTGGGGGATCAATTGTGCAGGTATTAATAGTTAAGTACTTAAGTCCATTGCATTGGTGTAATAGTGCTGTGATCTAGGATCCTGGCATGGGATTTGGATTGGCTCACAAGTCCCAATGGCCAATATTTTGTCTGCCCTACATATCAGCTCATAGATCTGAAGATCCATCAGCATATTTTTTGCAGGTTAGCTGGCCTGCATTGCATCCCCTACCGACCAAAGCAAGGGATTCACATCCCCTGTCATTACTCCAAACATTTGCTCCCTTTTAGACACTGTTACTATTAATCATTCCAGTACAACATCTCAATTACATAACTGTTTGCTCGTGCACATAATTTGTATGATGAGGGAAAAAAATTAATAATGAAAACGGTTTACATCTTCAGCTTTTGACATAAGACACTTAACCACAAGTTTTGTTCAAGAGAGCAAAACGAAACATGAGAAAAAAAAGTTTACTACCTTTTTTGTTTTGTCCTTGAAAGATATCATGAGTTACAACAGCAAAATTGTTCCATGACAAATGTGGCTTGATAACTTATGTGGCAACAAAATTTAGTGATAAGAGAAATTGTTTAGCTTGGCAAAGCTAGCTTCAAAATAAACAAGTAAACAAACCATATGACCAAGAGTGACATCTTCAGAGAGTATATGTATACATTTCAGTCAGCTTCAAGAATCTCCATCCTCTGCCTCATCAGTTGTAATCTTCTTCTAGAGGACATGAATCTCCAGCAAAAGAGGGTGTCCTATGATCCTATGAGGGAGAAAGCATAAGCTATGGCCTACACTATCACTGACTACTGATGTGAGCTGATTTACCACCCTAATTCATCATAGTGCTGCACAGAGGATGTGTCCATGTTCAGCATGGCAACCATTCCCTACCCACTTTCTTGTGTCCATCCAACCATGGCTCCATCAGATTAATTTGTCCTCCAAAAGAAAGACTGATATCATCTAAGCAAAAGCTGGTTAACACAAAAACCATCCTTTTGTCAATTAATGACTCCATCAGAGAGAGATTGAGATGATGGCAAGAAAGAGACTGGAGAACTGATGATCATAGTAGTAGTAGTACAGTACATACAGTGTGTGGTTAGGTGACAGGACATTGGCATGCATGGATTGGCAGCTTTTTAAGTCAAAGTGAGATTTGGATCCCTCTGTGTGTCATTGTGTTTCATTGGGACCCTGTGTTAGGCAACTAATAAAGCTGTGATTGTGCTTTGTGCATGCTCTTGTTTGGCCAAGAACATGATGACTTGGCAAAAGACCCTACTAGTAGCATCATCACTGATTAACTCTTTTGTGGTTGTTTGCAGTCAGATGCAAAATTGAACTGTGCAAACTCTTTCTGAAATCCTCTAAAGAAAACTTTTCTGAAATCATTTTTTTTTGGTTGAATAGGAGTACTACTATCTAGTTGTCACAGGTTCACATGCCCATATGCCTGATGCTTGGAAGTTAGAACTCAGAGAGAACAATCAACTGAACTGATCACCATGCCCATGACTTGCCAAGTTGGCATGTGTTATATATTCTTTCTCTCATCCATGCTTGCTAGGTTCATGCATGGGCATGGATGTAATCATTTTCATCAGTAATTCATCATCCACAACCATATAAGCATGCATTGAACTCTCTTGAGAAGTGAGAAAAAAATATTATGATCTGATTCTCTCTCATATTTTCTTGTCAACCCATTCAAAGATGCATGGCACTAATTAAGTTCATGGCTACCTAATTACTCAGAGCATGAACCTAATACCACCAATAACTACTGCTACAGCAGAGCTTATGCAATAACTTTGATCTATGTAGTAATGAACACCACATGGCATATCTAGCTAGGGACATTAGGAAAGATTCACATCAAATCTTCCATCATGAATTCATGATATATATATCCTCTTGCAATTGCAAGGTGTCTGGTGTTTCATTTGCCTTCAGCCTGGCCCCTACTCTGCTGAGTCTGAACAGGCACACTACTGTGCAAGCATGTTAATAGTATGGAAAAAGTCCAGTGAGAACAGTGCCCAGATTGGATTTTGCTGGGGCTCTCCTTGAAGCAATTAATTAATCAAGATTTGATTAGTATTCCAAGAGTAAAACATAAATAAATAAACTTTGATCTTAGCTAGAATCTAGATACATGCATGCATGTGTGGCTGAATTGGTCCTTGGCCCTACATAGAGAGAGGTGAACATCGATCATGTCACACATCCAACACTTATTCCCCTCCTCTTTTATCTTTTTCAGCTAACCAATCCACATGCATTTCAGATTCTAACAAGACATTAGGCCC